TATTAAAGTAATTTCAAAAGGGAGTTGAGAATTAGATATGTCACTTATCTATGGTACATATTCATTGAAATTTTAATTTAACATGTGTACAATTTATTATTTTACCCTTTAAGTTCAAAAAAATTAAATAAAAAATTAAAAATGATAATTGTCACTTTTCTATGGTAGATCTCCACTGAAATTTTAATTTAACATGTTTACAATATATAATTTTACCCTTTTGCTTAAAAAAAATTCAAAAAAAGATTAAAATAAACGTTTATGACAATTGTCACATTTCTATGGTACATCCTCATTTAAATTTTAATTTATCATGTTTATAATTTATTATTTTACCCTTTTGCTTCAAAAAAATTCCAAAAAGATTAAAAATGGCCATTATGACAATTGTCACTTATCTATGGTACATCCACATTTAAATTTAACAAGTTTTCAATTTATTATTTTACCCTGTAAGTTCAAAAAAATTTAAAAAAGATTAAAAATGACGATTAAGACAATTTTACTTTTCTATGGTAGATCTTCAGTGAAATTTTAATTTAATAAGTTTACAATATATAATTTCTTCAAAAAAAATCAAAAAAGATTAAAAATAACGATTATGACAATTGTCACTTTTCTATGGTACATATTCACTGAAATTTAAATTTAACAGGTTTACAATATATATTTTTACCTATTTGCTTTAAAAAAATTCAAAAAAGTTCAAAGATAACAATTATGATAATTGTCACATTTCTATGGTACATCTTCACTGAAATTTTTATTTAACATGTTTACAATATATAATTTTACCCTTTTGCTTCAAAAAAATTCAAAAAAGATTAAAAATAACGATTATGACAATTGTCACTTTTCTATGGTACATCCACATTTAAATTTCAATTTAACATGTTTACAATTTATTATTTTACTCTGTTGCTTCAAAAAAATTCAAAAAAGTTCAAAAATAACGATTATGACAATTGTCACTGCTCTATGGTACATCCACATTTAATTTTATATTTAATAAATTTTTATCTACTTGCTTTAAAAAAGTTCAAAAATAACGATTGTGACAATTTTTACAATCATTAAAACCATCTCGAAACATGCTCAAAAAATTTTTTCTCGCCTATTTAATACCTAAAAATAAAATTATTTTTATAGGTTCTGTTATGAATATTATGACAATTGTCACTTTTATAGTTTACACATTATATTAATTCATGTTTGAAATAATCATTTTTCTCTATTTCCAATTAAAACATATGTGAAATAAGTATTATGACAATTGTCACCTTTATATGCTTTACAATCACTGAAACCATCTCAAAACATGCTCAACTAGCCTTTTTTAATTATAATTATTTTTAAAGGTTCTGAGATGAGTATTATGACAATTGTCACTTTTATAGTTTACATTAAATATAAAACATTAAAATTATGACATTACATTTTTAAAATAATCATTATTACTTATTCCAAATATTAAAAAAAATGCAGTCGGTATTATGACCAATTCTCACATTTACAACCTATTCAAAAAAAATATTTTCATTAACATAATAAAATAAAAAAAAATATATATCAAAAATTTTATTTTTAAAGAATTTACCAAAAAATTTTAAGATCAAAATTTCAAAAATATTTTAATAAAGATTTCCTTACAAAAGATTTTATTTTATTATAAAATTCTCAAAATATTTTCTCAAAATTATAGAAGATTTTTTTACAAAAAATATTTTTTATTTTGCTCAAAAATCTTCTTTGAGCAAGCTCAAAATTTTTTTTAGCGAAAAAATCTTCGCATTTTTTGATCTTCAAAACAGCAACGATCTGTGAAGATTTTTGAATTTTGAGCAAATGTTAAACCCTGATTCTCACTCTCATAGGTCGTGCTTATTATATTAGATCAATTAATCTGTAAATCAATATGTTATTTTAAAATGCAATTAGTAGCCTTCATAAATCAATTATTCAATAAAAATGTATAACAAATAATTAAACTCAAATTTCCACAACCTATTACATCTTTTTTCTTATAAACCTTAAGACAAACAGTATTGAAATAGATTACAACACCATATATGCCGTTTTTGAATTTGAAATGATGTATATTGGGCAAAGAAAAAAAAAGAAAGAGAAATGTTGCAGTAAAATGATATAAAAACATTGCAATGGATAAATAGTGATAACACCACTAAATAAGAATATTATGAAGATTTTGAATATATTAATCATATTGGCTTTTCACCATATGCCCCTCCCCTTATTAAGCAATGCTTAACACATTTGAATTTGCATCATTTATTTTATATATAATTCTCGAGTTGATTTTTTTCATCTTTTCTACTAAAAAATCTTTCCAATTACATTAACCAGCTTGGATTCGAATTCTTTATTCCTTAATAAGAGTTTTCTGAAGTTTAATTTTTCTCTTATAACTGAAAGACACCCATCATGGCCCTATTTATTATTATTTAATTCGCCTTCAATAGTTTTAATTATTTTAATTTTAACACTGATATATCTTAATTCTTACTTGTTACCTGTCTTAATTAAAATTAACACTGATATATCTTAATCCTTACGTGTTACCTGTCTTAATTAATCCAAAATAATAAATCGACCAATCTCCAATTTCCTAAAGCGTCTTAATTTTTTATTGCCACGTATTCCCCTTATAAATGTGACTATAGTTTTTTGAAACCAGGACAGTGTTCATAAATAAATATTAACGCAATAGTAGATGTTCCTTTTTTTGTTTTGCCTCTTTTCTATGCTTTATCTCGTAATTAATACCTACAAAATAATAATTTTATCCTCAACTGGTGCCAAAAATCTTGACTTTCCAGATTTTTTCAGAATTTTTTGTTAACTTTACATAAGTCCTTGCTCTTTGTGGTCAACGTAGTCGTATATAAGAGATCAACTTCCTCCATTATCTTTTCTTTTCTTATATTATTAGATTAAAAGTAGATTTTTGGAGAGTAACGCATCCTTTATTTATTTATTCCATTCCAAATCTTACCTGACTTGTATTTCCTCCATCCTTGCTCTCTTCAGCCAAAAGCGATAGGAGTATTTTCTCCCTTTTTTAATATTTTCTTATTTAACTTAACAATAGCTCGATTCTATACTAAAGTATCCTTAACTGGTAACTTAAGGCTAAAAATTAGCATAACTAACAATATTATATGCATAATAAATCGAGTTCTTTCAGCGTTAAATATAAACTAGATTTTTATAACATTATTAAGTGTGATGTAAGATTGCTATAAACTGCCCAAAGTTCGATATCCTGTTATCATTGATTTTGTATATGCCAAATTGTGGATAATCTGCAAATTGGAATCCAAATTTTAATTGCTTCATAATTTTTTTCAAATACTTTAAATTATTGCTTTAATTTATTAAGCTTTTTTCTAAATAACTTTATCATTCTTTTTTAAAGACAACTTAGGCAATAAATCTTATAATATAATATTTTTAACCATTTCAATTATACAATAGGCATCATTGGCAAATGAAAAGAAAATTCAACATATTTTTTATAAATTTCTCAAAACATTTTTTGATTTTTAATAGTGTCTAAAAACTTCATTTTATAATTTGTTGGTGATTATTAATTAAGCATGTAAAGTTTATAATTATATCTAATGCTCATAATGATTTCTTAAAATACTAGTTATTTCCTTTATATTTCATTTTTTGGCGTAATAGAAATTTTAGTTTATTTTTTTTTAAACACGTAGTTTAAGCAAAGAAATATAGGAAAACAATTGTTATTACTAAAAATGTATAGTGCATATAAATATAGAAATAAAAAGGAGAAATCGGTTTTCTTGCATTGTTAAATGGACTCATGAATAACGATTCAATTGCATGGGTGAATGTTCATCTTAATATCTTGTTAGTAGTATCGTACTGATTGTCGGTCTTTTAAAACGACCCGATTAAGATTTTAGTCAAAAAATTGTGTAAGCCTGAAGATTTGGCAAGTAGAGCCCAAACCTTTATGTCATTGTTATAATATTCAGTTAACAAATAACTTACTCAAATTGTTTCAAATGTACTTGTATACAAAAAAACAAATGGCTTATTCAAATTACTTTGATAATGTTTAATTTATCAGAGGATGTAAATTAATATTTAAGAAAAGATATATAATTGAGATTTTGTGAATATTATACAACTTTCTAAATGAATTTTATTTTGTTTCAACTCTTTTTTTTTTAACTTTAGTTTTATTATGTTTTTACTGTATAATTTATTATTGTATAATTAATAGTTATGAATAAAGGAAATTTTAATTTAATTTATTGTTTCAAAATCGATATTTTTATAATTTTATTTCTTTTTTATTTAGAAAGGTACAATATCAACGTAACACACATCTATGAGCAGAGTAACCAGGCTTAACATTATTGTAATCAAAATCGGGTTAATTTTAAAAATAAAATCAAATTGGGCATTTACTACCTGCTAGTTAGAAGGCTTTCTTATGATAGATAATTATAACACTTTATAAATTTAATTAATTCCTCACCAAAAACATCATGAGTATTGGTGACAAATGTCCGCTTATTAATTTATTTTCAAAATGGGACGAATTTGGATCGTGTTAACAAATTAATGTATTTTTTGAGATTAGGGTATTGATATTAATGTGTCTTGATAAAGAGCCCTTTGGGATATTTGTCTTGTAAATTGTGTCTCTTTTCTTATATTTTTATTTTTTTTTATAAATAATAAAAAAAATTATTTTGTGAAACACATTTTCGATATTGATGCCCTTCTACATTTTCCCTAAATACCAGCTGATATATATTTTTGCATAAAGGGTTATGACATTACTAAAAAGCATAAAAATTTAGATATGCAAACTTAAAATGAGCTTTTTTTACGTGTATAAATTTACATATAGTTGACAGCAAATGTATTCTTAAATAATTAACATTATTTTTTAATTTATTATAGATAATGTCAGATTCATAATTGACTACAAATATTTGTGAGATCTAATCAGTCAAATCAGATTCATATTAAATATTCCGAAGTTACTATATTTTCTGCAAAAGAAGAAATATTAATTTACAAACTTATTTCCATGTTGATTATCAATATCTTTTCTTGTCAAACTTGAAACATTCTTAAAATGCAAAGGCTTAGAGCAATGATTATACTATGCCTTATTGAATTCTTTGTATCAATATGTTTCTCAATTATATCTCCATTTTTTCCTAAAGAAGTTTATTATATGACAAAATTCTTATTTTTTAAACTTACAATACTAGGCTGAGAAAAAAAATGTGCCTCAATTTTGGATTGGGACAATATTTGGGGTATTCCAAGGAGTTCAGTTTATCATGTCACCAATTCTTGGGCTCTATGTAATTATATTTAATAATAATATCAGTTAGAAATCTGCTTGAGCTTAGAAACTTGTATTAAAAATATTTTTTGGTGGGGGGGGGGCTAATCTAGCTCAGAACTTTTGTTACCTAAAATAATGAAATTATGATCCTTCCAAAAATCTTTATAGATCAGTGTAAATTTGGTTGTGCTGATCTCTATATCAGAGTATATAATTTTAAATTTGATTTTAGATTTAAAATTTAAAATTTTTTTTCAACCTAAAATTTATTTTAGACTAGATTTTTCTTTCCTTCTAAATTATTTTTATTTATAAATTATGTGTAATCACAAAAATATTTATACAATTATTATTCTATTTTTTGTCATTTTATGCTTATTAATACATCACTATACAACTAAATTTTTTTTAAAATCCTTATTTATTCAATATGCAAATTTGGTTTTTAATCACAAGGCTGATTTGGTTCTAAATGACATGATTATTTTTTTTATTACTCCCTCAATTTATGGTGTTTTTAAATAGAATCCTTCTTGAACTGATACAAGCTAAAACCTATCAATTGGGTTGGTCAGACTTTGACTGAATTTCTTTAAAACTTCTTAAAATTTGGATTGATAAGAAAATTTATTGTTTTTATTTTAAAAAAAATAATATTATTTAGAACCATAAAATCAACATTTTTTTAAAATATTTTCCTTAAATACTAATAGATGCCAATTTCATTGATATATATGCCTTTTCAAAGTCAAAAAATTTGGTTAGAATCTGGCCTATTTCTAAGATAAAATCTTGGACCAGATGAAACTCAAATCTTTGAAATAAAAATTACTCGAAGATCAAGAATTTTTTCCTCAAATTGGGTTGGAGCTGAATAAAATATTTTCCAGAAACATATTTCCTGGAAAATAAACTTAAACAAAATTACACCAGATAAGGATACCCTGATTTTAATTAATTTATTATAATCTGATAGAATTTTAAGCATATTAAACAAACAATCCTCTTACCATATATATTCCCAAATTTTGTTAAACCATTTTTTTAAAATCCCAACTCCATATTTAACAATCCTTTTTATACTTTAAGCCTAGCAACCTATCCCAATTTCTAAATTTCTATAATCTCTCAAACCCCTTTAAACCTTAGCTACTGAGAGAGAAATATATAAGGCTAATCTCAAATTTTTACCTCGAGTTTGAACAACCCTAAATTAAAAGAGTTTTTGCAAGCCTAAATGGTTACCCAATGATGTAATTGTAATAAGAAATATATAAAATTTGCAAATAAAGATTAAGATATGGCCACTCTAAATGAGTGATTTGCTTGATTTTTAGGGTATTTTGTAATTAAATTTCATTTTTGATTTATACCTTTTTCTATAATAGAAAGCAGGCACCCTAGAGGAAGTTATTTATAAAAATGGGTAGGTTAATTTCAGAAGAAAAACCGGTCCTATCTGAACCAGGGTTGCCAGATCTACCAAATTGAACCAGTAGGAGGCATACCACATATTTTTTTTAAGCCGAAATCTACTGCACTCTACTCGGCTATAAAAAAAAATTCTGCCATATTTTTTTTTAATTCCGGAAATATATTCCAATTCTCTCCCATCTTAAAAAAAATTCCCCAAAAATAATGTCTGAAAAAAAGGAGTAAAATCAGATAACATTAGTTTTTAAGTATTGGTACAATTTTAATCCTTGGATTCCTGAATATATTTCCAACTTTTTAAGTATATTCTTTTAAAGTATATTCCTGAATATATTTTTCGAATTATATATATATACATATAAAAGGCCACAATATTTAGATTATTCAAAATTTCTTTATTTTTTTATAAAAATTATCCGAAAAATACAATATGATGAATATCCCTAATACAAATCTATAACTATTATTATTACTATAATTATTATTACTTTTTTACATTAAATAAAAATAATTTTTTTCTCCAATCAGATGTCTACAATCCATCTGATTGACGTCTAATGAGAATATATATATATTTTTTTTTTAACATACTAAGACATGTCACCCCTTTATGGGCCAGTGACATTCCTTTAACAAAAACAATGGCTATACTACAATAATTTAAAACAAATTTAAAAAAAAATTACTATACTACAATAAGAAATTTTTAGAAGAAATTACTATACTAAAATTAAAAAAATTTTACACGTTCTTTCACTTGCTATCCGAGCTACATTAATAGTAGATCCTCCCATAGATCTTCCTCCGGATCAGTTGATGCCAGCAGTCCTGTCTCAGCTACCGTCAGCGGGTTAGGTTCAGCTATACAGGCGTTATTGGGCCCATCATACTAGCTGCTCGATGCTGTTCCATCACTGTTCGAATATTTACGTAATCCATTACTAACACTGGCCTCTTTGTTCATTAACTTTGACGGTGTAGGCTGAGGATTATCCTTTCTTGGTCCGCTGATCGCATTATCGACAACTTTTTAAGTAATGGTACAATTTTAATCCTTGGATTCCTGAATATATTTCCAACTTTTTAAGTATAAGGATAATCCTCAGCCTACGCCGTCAAAGTTAATGAACAAAGAGGACAGTGTTAGTAGAATGGATTACGTAAATATTCGAACAGTGATGGAACAGCATCGAGCAGCTAGTATGATGGGCCCAATAACGCCTGGAGTAGCTGAACCTAACCCGCTGACGGTAGCTGAGACTGCTGGCATCAACTGATCCGGAGGAAGATCTATGGGAGGATCTACTATTAATGTAGCTCGGATAGCAAGTGAAAGAACGTTTAAAATTTTTTTTATTGTAGTATAGTAATTTCTTCTAAAAATTTCTTATTGTAGTATAGTAATTTTTTTTAAAATTTGTTTTAAATTATTGTAGTATAGCCATTGTTTTTGTTAAAGGAATGTCACTGACCCATAAAGGGGTGACATGTCTTAGTATGTTAAAAAAATATATATATATTCTCATTATACGTCAATCAGATGGATTGTAGACATCTGATTGGAGAAAAAAATTAGTATTATTTAATGTAAAAAAAAGAAATAATAATTATAGTAATAATAATAGTTATAGATTTGTATTAGGGATATTCATCATATTGTATTTTTAGGATAATTTTTATAAAAAAATAAAGAAATTTTGAATAATCTAAATATTGTAGCCTTTTTTTCCTTGGATTCCTGAATATATTTCCAATTTTTTAAGTATATTCTTTTAAAGTATATTCCTGAATGTATTTTTCGAATTATATATATATAAAAAAGGCCGCATTATTTACATTATTCAAAATTTCTTTATTTTTTTATAAAAATTATCCGAAAAATACAATATGATGAATATCCCTAATACAAATCTATAACTATTATTATTACTATAATTATTTCTTTTTTTTACATTAAATAATAATAATTTTTTTCTCCAATCAGATGTCTACGATCCATCTGATTGACGTCTAATGAGAATATATATATATATTTTTTTTTTAACATACTAAGACAATTAGATTCTTCGTTACTTTACCCTTGTTTATTAGTAGAGTTCTTTTGGACTTAGTTTATGGAATAGTTTATGAGCATATGATCTTGAAAAAAAATAAGATCATTGGTATCTATTCATATACGTAATTTGTGATCTGTTTGATTGGTGCAGACGGGATCTTTAAGTTAAAATCACCCCCCCCCCCTTTTTCATTCTTTCCTTGGAATCTTTGAATTAAAATTTTGAGAAGTTTTTCGGTATTCACTTAAATCTTCATCATTTTTTTTTACCTATATAAGTTATTTGATGTATTGACAATTCTTAATAAATAATCGCAGTAAGCCTAAGGGACCGTATATTATATTTTTTTTGTGAATGGATTTAAAATAAAATAAATAATCTTTTCGATCCGATTATAATTGTGCATATGAATGTCCCGTTTCATCTCGAAATAAAAAAAATTTTTGTGCATAATATTCCTAATTGAAGGGTATAATATAGTAAAGTAAAGGAAATTGCAGAATATTGATTATGTGGAACGGGAAGATCTTTGCAAAATTAATTATGAAAATCTATATTAAGACGGAGGCGATATCGTTTCCGCTGCGCCTCATATTTCTTTACCGTACCGCGAAATTTACCATTTTTGTTGATATCGCAGGTGCGCTGTTAGATTGGAAGTTTTATTTTTGTTTATAGAAAAAAATAACGGGATGTTTAAATTTGAAAAACGCCAAAACATGTCCTAGCGATTTTTTTGTCATTATTCATTCAGTCTACATTTTGTTCATACGTAATCTTTAAAATCAAGTACAGCTGTAAATAATCTTTATTAGTGCCATTCCTTCTCTAATGAGATTTAATTGCAGAAAAATGATTTGATGGGAATGTGTTCGAACTTCTTTGAACATTTCTAAGCCATATTTTTTTTGTTACTATTTCAGCTCTTGGAGGGCCTGATTGGGAAGCGACAGGTCGTAAGCTTGCTGTGCTCCCATGGGTCTCCAGGACTGATGGCAGCTTCCATTCAAAATACGATGATTTTTTCTTACAATAATTTCATTCCCATATCCGTGCTGGCTAGCTACCATCTCTCTAACTCTTACCTACCTCATGACTGGTAATTTCAGAAAAGGGGTATCCCGATGGGAATCGAACTGTACTTTACTTGAACCAGCTGTTTTTTTTACCAAATGATAAATGATTTTTATAAAAAAAAAATTCTTTCCTATTCTCAAACTGCAAAAAAATAAATGTCACCTCATTACGACACGTGTCAGCCAAATATTTTTTAATAAAGAATGACACAAACATTCGATTGGGGTATTTTGGCCTGGTGTTTTTATGTCCAGGACACTTCTTGACCGATTACCGATAAGAATAGATCCTATTTAGGACTCCATTTTTTATTTTTTTATTATTTTTTTTTACACCCCTATTCATAGATGTACCAAATAGGAATAAAAAAACTTTACCTCTGGGGAATATTCCTTGATTCAATATCCACCCTTTGCTTCGGCTTCACCACTTATATTCCTATGTCCGCCAATCCCGCGTACTTCGCTGGCCTGACTCTCATGCTGAGAACTTTGCAAGGCCTGGGATGCTCGGCTTACATTACAGCCTCGTACGTGCTAACGGTCCACCTTTACCCCGATAACATCGGAACGGCTTTCGTAAAAATTTTCTATTTCTTTTTTTACTTATGTACACGTTTATTTTTAATAAATTACATGTGTGGCAATCAAAGAAGGAGAGAAGGAAGGAGCAAAAGAAAGAAAATTTTCCAATAAGGGGTTCTGACAAACGGTTCAACTAATTTGTCTGTAGGCGTTTATAGTTTGTCGAGGGTTTGACAAATTCTGGCGCTATGGTTTTATTTACCCCGGTATTTAACACAATTTTTATTAAAAAAAACTTATTACAATAATAGCGCGTTTTAAAAATTTTTTTTTTTTATTAAGATTCAAAATTTGCCGTTGTAATACCTCGGCATGGTTCCTACAATGCGAATTTTAGGACAATATCGCCATAAATAATTTGCGTTTTTTTTTATGAATCCCAGAGATAAATGATCTGGACAAAAAAAAAACTTCATTTTAATATAAAAAAATTTTTAATGCTTAAGACTTAATCTGATATAAACCCAACCCTCATAGAGCGCACTACCAAATTTTGTTGAATCATTTTATATTAACCCTACGCCATATTTGGCGACCCTTTTAACCTTAATCCCAACCTAATCCAAAAAGTCGCTTTTCGTAAAAAATAAAAATGGAAAACGATAGTTTGTTATAGTTATGAACGCATTCATAACTGATCATATGATCAAATTTATTTAAGCCATTTTTTTTTATTTATGTATATTAATCCTAACCCCATGTTTTTCTACACCATTCCACCATTTTTGTTAGGGTATTCGTGTCAGGTCGCATCTGGTCGATTGCCATAATTAACCTCCTAAAAATAACTAACCCTAAAGGGTGGGAGATATATCCTAATACTAGTGCCATACTACTAGCTGGGTCCCTAATATAATTAGGAGTATTCGGTTAACTAGTATTAGGATACATCTCCCACTCTTTAGGATTAGTGGTACTCTTATTTCTTCTGAGAGTGGTGGAGACAGCTGTTTTAGTAAACTTTGATGCACTTTCCTCCATGACTATTTTTGTATTAACCTAAAGGTAGGCTAGTTGTTTAAATAGGTTTAGCCTAAGATTATTTGAAATTCATAGAGGTTAAATACCTTTATACATTATGGTGGTCTTTTTAAAATTGAAAAGAAAAACCCCCCAGCTATAACTGATTTTAAGTTTTAAATATTTTTTTGCTCGTAACCGAATCGAATCCAAAGAAAATAACTTAGAACCTCATTCAAGAAGATAATTCAGAATCAAAACTCTCCCCCTTTTCTTGTCCGGGTACAGTTAACGGAAATTCGCTGGGGAGTGGGTAGAAAATGGCAATCGCCCCGAGAGTTCATGCTAGCTGTTAATGGCAGGGCTAGTCAATTTTTTGTTTTTAGTTAGCGCAAATTTGTGGCGGAGAATTACAAAAAAAATACGGCGTATTTTGTATAATTCGCCCGCGAATTCGAGCTATCTATGAGGGATAATCCTCTTTCGGCGATACAAAGGATTATTCCCAGACTCGTACCAGAATAATTAGGGCCGGGCCTGCTGGTCTCTGGATAAAAACCCTAATCAAATTTTAATTAACTGTAAAAGAAAAGGTGGCTTTTAATTTTATATAGAAAATCTTACTTTTTTATAATAGAAATTCTTATTTTTTTATATAGAAATTCTTACTTTTTTATATGGAAAATCTTACTTTTTTATATAGAAAATCTTTTAAATGTCCTTTGAAGTATTTTTATAATATAACTAACTTAAAAATAGTATTTAATATATTTTTTGATTTGTGGTATGATGTTTTTAATAAAAATGTTGATATCTTTTTTTTTTCAAGGTAAAATGTGGTTTTTTCTTTATTTTATTTTTATTTTTATAAAAAATTCGTTTTTAAACTAATCCGCTTATACTAAAATTCCAGTCTTTAATATATACATATTCACAAGGTTGTTAATCATGTGGAATAGAATGCGGAAATTATAAATATAATCCATGCTATAGAACCTTACAAATTATTATATTAGTCATGATAACCATATCTAATCTACGAATATAACACATAATAGTATTACAATATATTACTATTTTGCTACAATTATCACATGTAAAATCAAATCTCTTTTGTTCCTTTACTTACATTTAAAATTGCGATATGATGTTGTTATTTCATCGTAGAACGTAAATAAGATTTAAGACTTCTTAGTCCTGAAAACGAACGTTCTCTGCCGAACAAAAGCTTGTTAAATAGAGTTGAGTAATGGCTAAATGTCAGCAAATTCGGCTTGGTCTTCAGAACGCCTGCCTGAAATCCGCTAAACATTGAGGCGTTTCAACTTGTATTAGTTTCTCGCTAAATTTGAGCCGCTATCTTTCTAAAAAAAACCCGAGATTAAAAGTGACAGTTTTCGGTTAAAACTTTGTTTAGCCTAGTTTTTAGCCGGTTAAAAATTGGCCCAAAAGGGCTAAAAAAAAACTATACTTGTTAATAGCATTCAATAAATTTTACGCGCTGGAAAAAAAAAATAGAAAATTATTTCATTCTTACTTTGTTCTTTTAAAGATGGTTTTGACGTTCTTTCCTCTTAAAGGGTTTGTGATGTATATTTTGCCAAAACCCCTAGAATCCGACCCTCCATTTCGGAAAAATTTAGCCCTAGAATACTGAAACACGATTTCCGTCGAGTTTTTTGAACGGCAAATTGCGCCGAATAAATTTGTCGATTAACATTCATTTAAAAATTAGTGTTTTACGAAAAAAAAACGACTAACCCCAATATTTTTGCCATATAGAATATTGCGCAGGCGCCTCAAGATTTTGGTTAATAAATTTCCTGACCTTTATGCCCGCCCCTTCTATGAACAAAATCTTCAGGCTTAGGCTTAATATCTTGGGTTGGCCATTTTAGCCATCTAGCCGTTTAACAACACTACATTTAAATGACCCGACATGACGGTCATCGAATCCTATAGTGCAGTGCGCACAAATTGAACCTTTGCGTTTTGCCGTAATGTTTAAAATTCAAAAAAAAACGTAACGCGTCCCTTGTTTAAATTACAAGCGTGCGAAGAAGTTGAACTATCAGTTTTTTATCGTGAATGGGACGAAATATGTCCCACGCGTTTATGGAGATTTTCGAATTTTTTTTGCAATAGGTATTAAATGAATCTCGTACCACATGTAACGATGGACCCTAGAATGTGCTAGATTCTTCATTGGCGAAGGCGTGTTTTGTGAACCATATATCTTTCCACCAATGTTTAGAGGCACAGTCATAGCATTGACGCCTTAAAAGAATAATTTACTTGTTTTTTTATTTAATAAAAAAAAAACAGCAAAACCTCTGTCCATTATCAATTAGTCCCAGTTTCTAAAACGTATGTGCACTTTATGTTTTCTAAAATTTCCGATCAACAAAAAAATAGGTTGTTTAGTTCCTTTAAAAAGGAACCTGAGATGAGCTAATCCAAATATCAGATTTTTTTTTATAAAAAAAAAGGATTAAATGTTGTTGCCACTCTTTTTTGGTCAGGTTTGGATGGATGAAGGAATGGAACATTTTATAACGATTGAAAGGGAAGAGTTGTTCTTCTCATCTTTTATATTTTACAATACTCTTGCAATTGAGCGAGACTGTTATGGACCCTGAGTCAGAAACCCTGATTATATTTTGCTGAACCATAATCGCGAAACATTTTTTAGGGTTCCTATGGTTCAACAATATTTTTTTTAAAAAAAATTTTTTTCTTTATTATTATTTTTTTCGTGGAATCGTTTTTTTTAAATATTTTTAGTGTATCCATTTTATATATATTTTAAAAAAAAATATTCTGGAGACACCGAACTTAGAACGCGCCTTAAACCGAACCTGGTTCAGATATTCTTCACTGACCCCAACTCTTTTTTTGATGGGGGGGGGGGGTTCACGATTCTGGATTTAGCGGTTGATACATTGTTGCCCTGCATTCACAAAGCTAGAATTCGCCGCGTGGTATACAAAAAATGACTCGAATTCGCGCTAACCGAGAATGCAGGGTTAGGGAAGCTGAAAAAAAAAGATTATAAAATATCGAATAATCCGTTGTATTTTCGGATAACCGAATAATTTACAATTCGCCGAATCGAATAGTCGACCTAATTATAATCGTTGTAACACAAATTCTTCTTTTTTTTATACCTCTTTCAAATAAAAAAGACAAAAAATAAATTTCCTTCTTTTTTAAAAAATATATATAATATACACATTTTTCTAGGGGATCGTTGAGACTTTTGCCGGACTGGGTTTCGCTATTGGACCTCCTATCGGTGGTTACCTATTTATGGTTAAATTTATTTATTTATTATTTTTTAATCTTTAAAAAATTATTCGAAAAACATCTGATCAATCACGTGATTACTACGTAATTGTTTTCAAAACTACGATACGACCCTATAACCGATGTTATGAATATAAATGATCGAGATCCTATCCCATAATACAAAAAAATCGTTGCATCCCTAGCTTGCATTCACAGTGGGAACCGATCCGACACGATTTTGACAGCTGATTGATTTTTAAGATTTGTTTTTTTTATAATAATTTTAAATTTCCATTTATTAATAAAGGAAAATTGATCTCATAAATAGAATTTTAAGATGGATTACCCCTGTTGGATCCCAATATGGATGCTGTTGGAAGTGGCGAATAAAGAAAAATTTGAATATGTTAGTTGAATGTGGTGTTGTTAAAACGGCTAACTAGATATTTTAGCCAGAAAAATATTGCCCAAGCCTCGAGATTTCGCTGATAGATGTCCCAAACCTTTGTTCCTCCTAAAAACAAAATCTTCAGACTTGCCTAATATTATTTCTAGATAAAATATTGAGTTTAGAGTCCTTTTTAAAAAATCGGCTCAAAACGACTTGTTTAACAACACTAGTTGTAAATATATTAAAATTGAAAAAATCGTTAATTTTAGTATGCAAATATAAGGTGGTATAAAAGAAAAGGAAAATTTTTGCTATATATATATATAAATTAAATTATTATAAACGATGACAAAGAGGGGGCTAGTCTAATATTTTATAACTCGATTAACAAGAGAATCTTGTTTATTGCTTCTTCATCGAAATTCAATTCATTGACATATTCTTGACATTACATCAAAATTTATGACAAAATAAAACTTAACTTTAATTACAACAAAAATAAAAAAAAATTTTTAAAGCTGGGAGGTTACCCTTTGCCATTCCTCGTTATAGGAATTAGTTTGCTGATATTGCTGATCGTAGCCGCGCATTCTATCCCGTCCTTCGAAGATGCCATCACCGCTCGCCTTGCCACGCGTAATTTTTTTTTGTTGTTTTGTTAAATCCAACATACCACCTTAAAATAGATGGTAGTTTTAGGGTACGATTTTTTTTTGCACTTTATAATTAATCTTAAAAAGAAGCAATCCTTTTTCCGGACCAAAATGGAGACTGACCTCTAACCACTTTTCACTCTTTTATATTATGTAATAAACCAGCTGATATCAACATCTCGAGCCTGGACTAGATAACCCCGATTTTTATTTTTTTTTAAAATTGGATCTATTTAAATAATACTTAGCTGTTGTAATGATTTTCAAAAAGGGAAAATTGGAAAATATAGGAGAATGAATTCTACGTGGGTCCCATCATACGATTTTCCATCTGGTTAATTAATATTCGGACCGAGATTATGAATTTTATCCAACCCCTGCTTGGGGTTTTTTTATCGGTTGGTTTCAGCCGGTTGGCCGTCTACCCTTACTTTTAATTTATGTTCCTCAACTACATCACGGGGTATTCGGAATCTTTCGACTTTAAATCATTTATTGAAGGGCGATTTGATAAAAATTCGATTTGGTCGGATACGTATTTCGGCCTGACCGGAGTACCCACACTGTTATTTCCGGAAAATTTTGTGACGAACTTTTGAACTGCCACTTGTTTTACGTTCATTTTTTATGCAGATATTTTATACGAATTTAAATTGTACAAAAAACACACAAAAGTTTCATGGCCAAAATTGTTCAAAATTTATAGGGTAGTTGTTACTATGCACGTATCGGGATACATTTTCGGTCAATCCCATACTTTCCAAATTATAAAAATCGTCCTCGATGTGAATGATGCAATATTGAGAGATTCCCGAATCTCAATGGATTCTATATCCCAATACGACATATATATCTTGGAGACCTGCAGGAAAAATTCTACCCAGTCCGGGCTTAAAAAAGAACATTATAATCAAATTAATCAACGGGGAAAATGTTGGAAATTATAGCGGAGTCTTTAATATTCATTTACTGCTCGTATTCAAATTTAATGAACCGAGCCATAAAGGGATCAAAAATAAAAATCCGGGTATGGTCGAAAATGGAAAATTTTTAGGGTATTTTTGGCCCGGGGTATTTTTTATCCCGTTTACATTTCTGTCCAGTGATTTGTTAATTTTTTTAAATATCGCCCTGGCCTACAATTTTGACCTCTGCCGGTCTTTGATATATTCATCCGCGCTTCATATAACCTTGAATTCATAATGGCGCGATTGCGATCGCGATTTAACAGCTGACAATTTTTTTAAAATCAGTTTATGAGATCAGTTTTTCTCTATTAAAATATTATTCCTTAGATTATTATTATGATTTGAATTAAAGATAAAAATAAAAATTGATTTCGTAAACAGATTTTAAAAATCGATCAGCTGTTAAATCGCTATCGCCATCGCGTCACTATGAATTCAAGGTGATACTTGTCCATTTTGGTAATTTTTATTTGCGCACTCACGTTAAAATTTCAATATCTACTTAAAAAAAGCTATAAAATGTTTACCCCGCCCAAAATCGCCGACAAATTGTGAGAATCGGTCTAATGGACATTGCCTTCGCGGAGATCAGCTGTTGCTCAATTCCTCGAGTCGTAATATTGTAGATGACCTCCCCGATTATTTCGCTAAAGGCATAGGACGCGTCGAATTTATAAACGGCGATATTATTGGCAACGATCATGGAGGCGATTCAATCTCTAAAAATAAAATTAGTCTCCCCAGCGAGAATCACGCAAATGGTGAATCGGCGAAGTTCTCTGATAACGGCGTGGGCGATGACGATCTAGAGGAAAAGAATTCGGTATTACTCAAGGCCCTCTCTTTTTTTTCCCTATTCTATATGCATTATTCGATTTCTCTGGATTACCTTGTTATGTTCGGGGCTTCCCTCACCCTCTCCTTCGTCGATGCTACATTGGAACCTCATCTCAGGTCCGTTTCAGCTTTCTGGGGCCCGCAGTCTAACAACCCATTCACCGCCGAAGAGTCTACTTCGTTTAAGGTTTTGACTAACGGGAATTCATCCAAATTTCATGAATTATTTCGCCCGAATCACGATCTCGACCCAACTTATACAGCCAAAAATTACCCTGACATGAACCGTTTGACAAATGCGACCGCTGTAAATCGTCATGACAAGCATATGCTATTCCTGATGTTCGACGAGCATCCTCTGAACTCAGCGGCCGTGGGTAGCATATTTTTCGTTCTTTCGGCGACTTACACCGTGTTCGCCCTGATTTTCGGGGCCCTGACAGATAGGAAAACTATGTGCGGGGTCAGAATACAACCCTTCAAGATGATGAGGTTTCATTTTTTTTTAAAAAAAATACCTATTATCTTGGCATCCTTTTTTTCAGTGGCGTAGGCACATGTTGTTGTTACATCGAATTCATAATGGCGCGATTTAACAGCTGATCGATTTTTAAAATCCATTTATGAGATCAATTTTTATTTATTAATATTAATTTTTATCTTAATGATTTTAATCAAGAAAAATTAATCTCATAAACAAATATTTAAAAAGTCAGCTGTTAAATCGCGATCGCGCCATTATGAATTCAAGGTTAAACGGCTAACACAATATTTTGGTCAATAAATATTACGCAAGCGTGGAGATTTCCCTCACAGATACCAGAAAGTTTTGAACATCTATTCATCTATGAGCGAAATTTCGAGGCTTACTTGATATTATATCGACTAAAATCTCAATTTTGAAATTGACCGGCCCGTTAGCAAGGGAAGAGTGGTGACCTCATATAATTTTAGTATAGTCAGTAGTCACCTCAATTTTAATGGGGGGAGGGGGTTAGGGGGTTTACATAAATGGTCTTTCGAACATGTGTTTTATGGTTCGTGTCGACAGATAAAATCAAGTTGAATTTGCTTAGTTTTGAGCCGCGTCTTTGTTAGGTTATTTATTATATTTAATTAATGTTTTCACGCAGGGATGTGAACTGGAACCCGGGTTCAGGAATGGTCGGGCATTTTGAAACCATAGACCAATCAGTGACAACCCGGGCTAATATGGACTTGGGGCGGGTCCTGACCCCTCTTAGGAAATCGGTTTCGATTAAGTTCATATTCTTGAACCCAGATTCGGGTTCACGTCCATGGTTTCGCGTATCACCGATCTCTTTATTACAACTAAACGATGATTTTTTTTTTAAATTATGGTTATTTGCCAACCAGTCATGTGATTAATTAGACATCAGGTGTTTATTCGAATATCGTCACGTATATTATTCGCCTCGAAATTTTGATACACGAGGCGATGGTTTGATTCCGTTTTTTGTTTTGGTTATTAAATATCGCGGCCATTATTTTTTTTTTACCAGGGACTCAAAAACCGGAACAAGTCTATATGGAACTAAAATTTCGAAGGTGCCTCACCGTTAGGGTCTAGTAGAGGGAAAAAAATTCAACCCGTCGGGTTTTGAGTTTATCAGGAACCGTGACCTTTCATTATTATGGTCTCTGGTATATTTTCAATTTTCAAGTCTTATTAGGAATCGTAGAATTTCTACGATCCACGAGGAATATTCGAAATCAATTCTGTCTTCCATTTTTTAAAAAGAAAAAAAACTTTCTATCAGATCCGCGTTATCGAATATTGATAATCAGCCTAGCATGTTAAAAATCATTTGTGAACCCTTAAATATAAGTTCTAAACCACTAAATTTTGAAGGATTGGATTTAAATGGTTAGGAATGAAGGAAATAAAGAAAGAAAAAAGTAGGAAGGAAAAAGAAAGAACAACATGAAAATTGAGTAAGAAACTTAAGAGCTAAGTTCATCAGAGTTTTTTTTTTATAATGTCACGACATTTTGTTTATTTACCTTTTTTTTCCTCCCCTAAAAAAATTCGAAGGTATGGCCTCATCGTATCTTGTCTCCTCTCCTCCATAGCTCTTCTGTTATCGGGTATCCCGGTTTTGGAAATAGCCGAGGGCGAAAACCCGAGACACTCCTACTCGTTTCTATATTCCTTGGTCTATTATTTTTTATCGCTTCCGGTTCCCATGCATTTCGACAAGACGGCGTCTTTGATAGCTCTGTGCACCTCTCAAGTCGTGTTGGGCTTGGCCTTCGCCTTGCAAATTGTCATGACGTTCGCCGACATAACGAAACGGGTATCGATGGCTTATTATAACGCCGCGGCGGAAGGAGATACTGGTTTGTGCGAGGAATACGACGAATTTTATTCTAGCTCTTTACCCGAATATTTGGCGAACGGGAGTAAGGAGAATCTAGTGGTGGCCAATGGGGGCGGAATGAGAGATCGTGAGCTCAATGCTAAAGACGCCGACATCAAAGATTATGACCCTAAAAAAATCGAGGGTGGTTGGGGAACAGCGCGTCAAAATTTGCCAGAAAAACGGGCTCCGAATCGTAATTATTCCAGCGATGATGGTATTTTGAATCAAAATGGCGAAGTCTATCACCGTATTATTGATAGCCACGACCATGTTCCCTGCTCTAAAACCCATGATTATCGCCATATAGGTGATGATGACATAAAATTTATCATCAAACCTCGTTCTTCTGAAGAAGCTAACAACGATTCATTGAGTACTTTTGGTAAATCGAGCGTATGCCCAGAAACTACTTTGATATCCGGTCTTTACAGTTCAGCTATAGCTGCCGGGGCATTTATTGGCCCCGTTTTAGCAGGGATCATGACCGGCCGAGCGGCTCGATCTTACTCGTGGGCCGCGGACCGCATCGCGCTTTTTGAAATCGCCATTTGTGCTTTGGCCACCGCGCTCACGGCCTACAAAGTAGGAGATGGTACAGGATTCTGATTATGCCTTATAAATGTTATCAAAGTTCTCCCAAGGCCATTATTTTTTTCGTGGTGATAAAAAACCCCCAAAGTTAGACAAATTTCAATCAAAGTTAGATTAATTTTATCTTGGATAGCAACTCTCACGTTTGTTTCTGAAAAGTGTAACGCGATAGAAACCCATTCATTGCTTAGATGGTCACATCTGCGAATTATAGATATATGGAGCTCAAGCTCCTGAAAATATTGCCCTCATAATTTGAAGGTGTTAAATAATATTTCGTTATCCGAATTTTTACCAGTCAAAGATCAACAAATATTAGCTTTTCCTGCGCATGAGCATTTGTTTTTTTTCCCGAAATGGCATTCGATATCATATTCCTTAACTCTGTAGGAAAAACCTGATGGCTCCGATACGATCCTCTCTATGGCTTCCCATGACGCTGATATTAAGTGTTTATGACTCGGTGTATGGGAAGACCTTAAACTAAGATTAAAATGGGTGCTTACACCATATAAGCCCCGTTATAACTGCCCCAGCTACGTTCTGCGATTGTGATCAACCTCTTTTTTTGAAAAAAATTATATTTATATATTTTTATAATTTATAAGATTACTAAAATTTGATGCAATATTTTTCCTTATGCTCTCATTTTAAATTATCATATTTTTTTTTTGTGATTATATACTTGACGTCAGAATATTTGTTTACGATTTTATTTATTTATTTTTTAACTTGTTCGCCATTTTTTTTTTTTTTAAAAACTCAAAAATGTAATTTAATTACCGCGACTGTGATACATGATATTTTTATTTATCAATGACTCTAATATCTCTTCTACTTATTATTAAATCTAGTCAGCTGTTATTCTCCTATTACATTATTTACAATATTGATATTAGATCATAGAACATTATAACACAATTTGCAACGTGGCACCGTTCTTTACTTTAACAATCACGTGACTTTCAGTATTTTTTTATATTATTGAAATAAGATCGTTACGGGCTCCATTTTTAAATTTCTCGTATGGATTAGAGATTAATGCGCATTCGCGAGTTTTTATTTTAATAATAAATTTTTTTTGAAAAATTTGTCACGTGATCTCTGCCAAATTTTTTTCCTCTTTCAAAACAAAAAAATGTGAATAATATATAATTTGTAATATGTACCTAAGAGTTATAAAATTCTATTACTCGTACTATTTTTTTATATTATAGAAATAAAAAAAATTTACATAGGATTGTGTAGGGTTCATAGTCAAAAAAAAATCGGGTTCTATACTTTCGGGTCGGGTTCGGTCGAAAAACCATCTGACTTGGCTGTTTAATCTAGAGGGTTCTCGAACAATTACGGTTTTTTCTTCTTAGGGTCTAAAGACGCTGTCTTTATTGGATCGATTATTTTGATTTAAACTAGCATAGCGCAGTTGCAAAGCTTGCAGGTTGGAAAAATCGCTAGAAGAAATCCTTTAAACGGCACTAAACACGTCAGCACTCTAGATTCTAATATTATCCTATTGCCTACCTGCATATCGTTGCCTGAGAATTAGATTATTATATCTCCTCTCTTTGTAATCTTACAGAAAATCAATTTTCAAAATTAAATTTCTATTGTAATAGGATATATAACCTTATATTGGCTATAATTCAACTTATGTATATATTTCGTATTTCTTTGTGTAAGATGGAATAGTATAACAAAAAGTTTATATAGAATAGTCTAATTCTCAGGCGACGATATTGGTGAAATAACACGATTTTTAAGAGGAACAAGGGAAACAACGTGTTATAACATTTATTTAAAAAAAATGTCAAGAATCCATATTTAAAGACAGAAATCTGAATCATTTGTCTTGGAGACTTTCTAACTAACCATATTCCCAAAATCTGTTATGTTCCTTCTGATTAAGAAAGGCGTCGTGTTTTAGAATGATAGATCAATAACACCTGTTTTTACTAGGTTAGAAGCTTTCTCCGCCCAAATTTTTTTCTCGGACAAATAAAATTCTAACCCCGTGAATAAATTGTTATATGTTGACTGACGTCGTATATCATTACCTCTGATATGCAATAATCAGTTTTTTTTTCTTGTTTAATAAATCTCTATCTAAAATGATACAGTAATATTATGACATATCTCCCACTCTTAACGGTTAGGGGTACTCTTAGTTCTTTTAAGAGTAGAGGCAGCTGTTTTAGTAAACGGATGAACTTTCCTCCAGGAGATATATTAAGTTTATTTTTATACTCAACATAATTAATGATATACAGCTAACGTTTCCTAAAAGTGAGAGATACCCAGTGAATTATCATTTTATATAAATTTTGAGTTTAGACATATTTAAATGATAAAAGGTAATAAATAAGAGTCATCAACACATAGTGATTTCAAGACAGCTGATATTGGATGGAAATTTTGAGGCAGAGGTGGGATTGTGCAAGGAATCATATTTTTTTTATTAGAATAATATATAAATTCATGCAAGGTTAATTTATATATATATAGTTATAGTCCTGTATTGTACCCTTTTCAAGTCTGCCCGATCCGGGAGGGGGGGAATATTTCTAAGGAAAAAAAAATTAAAAATTATAAACGAGACATTAAAATAAAAAAAATTTATTTGTTCCTAATTTTAAATAGAATCATTCTAATTCAGAAAAGCCGCTCGGACAGTTTTTCCATTTATATATAGATTTTATCCAATAATTACCCTTTAAAGTACGCCTAAAAAAACGTGTAAATATTCTTATTTTATTTTAAAAGTTCTAGAATCAATCCTATTCAGACAGCTGTTTACAATTCTAAATAAAAGAGAGAAGATGATTTAGAACGTTGCATAGCATTTTTTTACAAAATATAATATCTATATACTCAATTGGGAAACAAAATCGATTCAAAATTTAGCTGATCTCCAGAATCCAGTTTGACTAGATTCTAAGAAAAATTTACTTATCTGAACAGAAATATAAGTAATAATACACTCGTTGTCAAGTCTTTTCATTTACATTTATAATCATCTCCGTAATGATTGGCTCCTTGTCACCATAAAAAACGACTTTATTGTCAAAAAATTTCTCAAATAAATCAACATCTTATAATATCTCACTAAAAAAAAATAGATGACCAATATTTTATTGCATCGCAAAGAAAACATCAAAATCGTGACAAAGTAATCTTGAAAGTCTTGATTATAGAATCCCAAAGGATTGATTGATATCATATTGATGTTTGACAAGTATAAACATAGAATATTGTTATAAGTAGTTTTGTTTAACGGCTCGATTTTTATCAGATTTTTAAAAATGGCTAACTTAAAATTATAGCCAGGAAAATATTGCCTAAGCGTCAAGATTTCGCCGATAGATGTTCAATCCTATGTGCCATCTACGATCAAAATCTTTATACATTCAAACATTAACTTGATTGACATTTGGATATTATATAAAGTTATATATATAATGTAAGAATACACAATTATGCAACATAAATAATATGCGGATAAAAATGGTTCCGATATATTTAAAATGATTAACTATAATCATTTTTTTTCCGGAAAATATAACTAAAATAAACTAGAGACAGGGGCATCGAGAGCGGGGCCAACATGAACCATATATTAGCACGGCCCTAATTAATTATCATTTCCCTAGATATTTAATCCATCTCCTATATTTGGTGAAGACTGGCAGAAAAAATAATAAAAAATATTTAAATTTTCGAATTCAAGGCGCACTTTTTAGCAAAAGAATTATTTATGATCCATAGATGGATAAACAGTTAGATCTGCATATTTCTAGAGCGACATCATTATAATCTGTCTGAAGTAATAGTTTTCCTTGGGGGTACTGCAGATAGGTCGTAAATCTATATTCGGGGCAACTATGCCTGATTAGCTAAATTTTGCCTTTAAATCGAATCGTAGATAAGGATATTTACAATTATTTTCATAAAAATCAGCCTTAAACGTAGATTTAATTTCATTATTTTTAAAATTACAATGATTCATAATTTGGAAATTTTATCCATACCTTGATTTAGATATGAATAATTATGCTTATATAGGCTCGGCATTACTAAATAACGCAAAATGGAGGAAAAACAGCAGAGCAAAAAAATAATTTTTACTAAGCGGCACAAAGACATGGCAAGATTACTAAACCAGACAAAGAAGACCGATAAATTATGCAAAACGACGCAAAAATATCTAAAATGCGAACCGCACCAACTTACACAAAATGACAGAAAAGCTCTCAAAGGGCTCTGCTACACCATATGATATAAAATGCAAGCTAGAAGATAGAAGCACGTAAAATAACGAGAAAAAAAATAAAAGCCAAAGGCACGTGATGATGCATTATCTCATAAAAATCCAGTAAAATGACAGAAGTAATATAAAAACCCTAATAAAATAGTATATAAAATTTTTTAAACAAATAAAAAAAAAATTTGCCTTAACTTATCGAAAAATTTCCCAGGCGCGCCCATGAAAGCTTAATTTTTTTGAAATGTAAAGCAATATATTTTGTTGTAGTGTTGTTAAAAGGCTCGAAAGAAAGAAAGAAAGAAAGAGAGAAGAGAAGAGAAGAAGAGAGAGAGAAGAGAAGAGAGAGAGAAGAGAAGAGAAGAAGAGAAGAGAAGAGAAGAGAAGAAGAGAAGAGAAGAGAAGAGAAGAGACTAGACATTTATAAGCGAAATCTGGAGGCTTAAAGGATTTTTTTCTGGCTTAAATGTAGAGTTAGCCGTTTTTAAAAACGGCACGAGTCGTTTAACAACATTACTCTCTACCATATATGAAACAAAAAAATCTTCAGGCCTTCATAATATTATTTTTTGATAATAACCTAATAACGTCGTTATTCAACTAAAATCGTTTTTTTTTAAACTACATTTACCTTTTAGCTATCATAATATTATTTAAAAATCTATTCAGTTAGATTTTTAAAAAAAAAGGAAGTCTAAATTTAGCGCAAGCGCAATAAGCGCGATATCTTCGAAGACTATTATTTACCCATGCCACTGCTTATTCCTATTTTCATTGGTTCTTTTAAAAAAAATTAAGAAGCCATTTTTTTTTTAAATTTTAACCCTAACCCCATATTTCTCAAACCTTTAATCAATTCTTTTCCTATATCTCCACAACCTTTAATTTTACTCATTCTCTCAGATACGTCGTCATAATTTCGAATATATTTCGTCCAATTAAAAAAATTTCCCACAGTTGAGCCTTCCTTGAATTGGGATCAATTAGTCCAGTTTTATTTAATTTTGATTTGATTGGCTATGTTGTCAGTTTTTTAAAAAAAATAAAAAACAAACAAAAAAAAACTGGACGCAACTAACTGGATAAAATTCAACATTTTTTTTTTTTAAAAATATAATATTTTTAAATTTCCATGGATAATTTCTTCTTATCACATCTTTCTATAGTGATAATTTTTAAAAAAATTATTCAAAATTTACAAAGCCTAAGGAAATAAAATTTCAATATTGAGAAAGATTGCCAAAACAACAAATCGATAATGAATGCCCCGCAAGGAGGAAAATCGCTGACACATATGTCCTACGATAAAAATATCCATGGATACAAAAATAGCTCAAATTTTTTTAAAACAATATTTATTAACATCGATATACAAAGAAATTATTTTAAAAATGACACTTCTAAAGCGTTTAAATTATCTTAAATAACCCTTTTAAAGCGTTTAAATTATTATTTTTTTAAAATTGTAATTAGATTATTATTTTTTTTTGTGGAGTGTCTTTTTAATGTAATCATATTTCTCTTCCATATCACCTGACAAAGATGGACGCCA